AGCTTCAATCTAATACTTTGATATATTTGATAATATACTCCAAACATACTTTTATGTGCAGTGAGAGTGTACTAATGAAGACAAAAAGTTTTGAAATTTGTTTACTTTCAAGATTTAGAATGTAGCCAAGTCTTGCTAGATAAAAGTAAGACCACAGTTTGGTCTTTATAAACACCCATGTTTTTCATTAAAGCTAGAGTAGTTTGAAATAATTTAAACATTTTAATTTGCTTCACAACAGAAAGTAGTAATGTAACCATGATAAATGGCCTGGATATTTCCTCTGATGCTTCCTGATCCAGAGAAATCGTATCGGAATAACCTAGGTCATTCCTAGCATGTCTTCCCTTCAATACTGGCCTCTGTAGTAAGAGGAACCGGAAAACTACCCTGAACGGAAGCTGTTTAGAGACCAATGATTCATTCTAGACTGCAAGAGAAATAACCTGTCTCTTGATTTTCTTCCGTATCGTCTTCAGTTTAGATTTGGGGAAATTTTAAATCTCCTCATCAAACTACATATCTAGTGTCATTAATAGCAGGAGGTTTTTTTTTTGGTTTTTTTTTAAGTTTATCCTTGGAAAAAGGCATGAAAAAGCAGAATGAAGAGGAGAATTTTTTTATATATATATTACAGATAAATATATTTTTTTTTTATTTGTTGTTCCAGCACATCCCACATTTGCACAATTGTATTGAGAACTGGGGAATATGTAGGCCAAAGCAACACATTACACTCTTTTTGTTATGCTCCTTCAACCTTTCCTGACATTTTTATGCAGTGTGCTAGGCTGCATATCCTGCTGAAGAAGGTCACTGCCATCAGGGAACAACATAAGTGGTGTACGTGTTCTGCAACAATCTCTAGGTAGGTTATACGTGTCAAAGTAACATCAACATGAACACCAGGACCCAAGGTTTCCCAGACCATAACACAGCCTGCTTCCCATAGTGCATCCTGCAGCCATTTCTTCCACAGGTAAGTGACGCATACGCATCCAGCTATCCACCTGATCTAAAAGATATCATGATTCATCAGACAAGGCAACCTTCTTTCTTTCTCCATGGAAACTCTGACCGGTCTTCAGCTACTCTGCAAACTTCAATCCGTGGAGTGTACTGACACCTTTCTATCATGGCCAGCATTAGGTTTTTCAGCAATCTGAGCTACAATAGCTCTTCTGTGTGATTGGACCAGACAGCTCCCCAAGTGCATCAAAGAGTCTTGGGTGCACATGACCCTGATGCCGGTTCACTGTCTGTTCTTCCTTGCACTACATTTGGTAGGTACTAACTACTGCATACCAGGAACACCCCACAATACACAAGGCTGTTTTGGAGATGCTCTGACCCAGTCATCAAGCCATCACTTTTTGGCACTCAGATCTTTTTGCTTGCCCATTTTTAATGATGAAACACCCTCTTCCCCTTTTCTTTTAATGGTTCATCCATTTTCCTTAGTTATTGTCTCTGTTTAAAATTGTTGTAAAAAGTCTTTAATAAAAATAATTTGGAAATAAATTCAAGAGCTGACTGTTCACTTATTGCCTAATATATCTCACCCCTTGACAGCTGGCACTGTAACAATATAATCAATTTTATTCACTTCACATGTGAGTGGAAGATCAGTGTATGAGGAATAAATGTAGGCATTAGCAGAGATATGAGAGGAATGAACATCTCTTGATCCTATTGCCATTTGTGAAGCTCAAAAGGTTAACCTTGGATGGTTAGCAGTTAGGAAAAGCAAGATTGTTTTACCCTCGTGTCATTGCTGTTCCATTCCAGTAAACAAATAAAACTTGTCCTATGCAGCTTGAACAGGGGTAGGTAACCGGATGTTGTGGACATCATCTTCCATAATGCATACAGCCATAATGCTAGCGAAGCAGATTTAGTCCACAATATCTCAAGTGCAGAAGGTTGCCTACCCCGGAACTAGAACATTCACTTTGTGCATCAGTGTACTCATGTGTGTTTTTGCTCTCATGCACAGATATGAATGTACATCTTTATATGTATCCAATTTTGTATGACTGACTGTGCGCGAATGTCGGTCTGTGTGAGTTGTGTATGCACTGGATATGTTTGTAAAAGTCTCCCTTTTTGTTTCTAGGCACATGATAAGGTCTTAATATATGTATGCATGTGAAAGTATATCTGTGTGTGTGTGTGTACACGAGTTTGTATATGTGCATCTCTGTATAAGAGTATCTATATTTGCATATATCTATGCAAAGGAGTGTCTTTTTAGGTGTGTGTGTGTGTGTGTGTGTGTGTGTATGTGTATATATATGTGTAAATATGTGGCTGTATATCAGTATGGGCTTACTATCTACATAAATGTGCTCTGCATGGGGAATTAGAAGTGATGTATTTGAGTGCTCATGTTTGGAGGGAAGTCTAGGAAGAGGACAAGGGCATTGTAAATATCAAAAGATTGAATTGTCCACGGTGCTAAATGGTATATTAAATAAAATGCAATAATAACAAAATCAGGAAATACAAATGTTTGTATTTTTTACTTTTTTGTTTATTTATTGGGTAAAATAAAGAAAATATATGAAATAGTATAAATGTGTATGACCTGTCACAAAACCTACATGGACTAAGAAACTGGACAGGAAAGTTTTGAAAATATTTCAAAATAGAATATATATCTGGCAAGTAGTAGTAGAAGACTCATGTGCAAATCTACCCAGAATCATTGGATAGAGAAAAGCAAAATATGATTATAAAACCCATAGGATAGAGGATAAGACTATTTGATTAATAAAACCACCGATGTTTCCCCGAGTTCTCTCCCTCCTACCAAGGGAGGAACACCTAGATATACTCTCAAGACAGAACAGCATATTATCAACAATTCAAAATTACTACTGGAAACATCTCTTATTTGCTAGCAAAAAAAACAAAACAAAAACAATCACAAGTACAGACTTTTTGTAAAAGAACGACATGGGAGATTCAAAGCCCTCTTTAACACAGGGCAAAAGGGGTAGCTGTCCCAGGCCCAGTCAGTCTTAGGGGGCTATACTCGCGGGACTTTGCTGCATATGAATATGAGTTTTTCAAAACAGTAAAACTTATCACGACGATGATATCACCAGTAAAAGTGCAGTTTTTGTTTTAAAAGAAATGCAAAAAAAAACGAATAAAAATGCTAACTTTGGCCAGTGTTTGTGACTAAGTGGCTACTACAAAAATTGCATTTTGCAATACCTAGCAGCGAAGTCTCGAGAGTAAAACAGTACCCCCATGTACAGGTTTTTGGGTGTCTTGGAAAGAGACAGGGTCAATATAGGGCTTGCCCATTTTAATTTGCCAGATTGGTTTGCTGGGTCTATGTTGCCTTTTGAGACTATATGGTAGCCCAGGAATGTGAATTAACCCCATCATGGCATACCATTTTCAAACGTAGACAACCCAGTGTATTCCAAATGGGGTATGTCCAGTCTTTTGTAGTAGCCACTTAGTCATGAAGACTGGCCAAAGTTAGCATTTTTATTTGTTTCTTCGCATTTTATGTAAAGCAAAAACTGAACTTTCACTGACTATTTCATTGTTGTGATATGTTTCACTGTTTTGAAACACTCATATTTGTGTTCAGAGAAGTCTCCTGAGTATAACAGTACCCCACATGTACTGGTTTTATAGTGTTTTTGAAAGTTACAGGGTCAAATCTGAGGCTTGCCCATTTAATCTTTTTCACAGAAGGTAGCCAAATTGGTCATGTTGCCTTTGAAACTGTATGGTAGCCCAGGAATAAGAACAACCCCCATGATGGCATACCATTTGCAAATATAGACAACCCAAGGTATTTCAAATAGGGTGTGTCCAGTTTTTTTTAGTTGCCACTTACTCACAAACACTGACCAAAGTTAGCATTCATATTTTTTTTTTGCATTTTTCCCACACAAATATAAATGCTAACGTTGGCCAGTGTTTATGACTAAGTGGCTACTAGAAAAGGCTGGACATACCTCATTTTGAATAACCTGGGTTGTCTAGTTTTTCAAATGGTATGTCATGGTAGGGTTAATTTTCATTTCTGGGCTGCCATACTGTCTCAAAGGCAACATAGCCAATCTGGCAAATAGCAGTTTACAAAAATCAAAATTGGCAAATCTTTTGTTTAACCCTGTAACTCTCCAAATCACCATAAAACCTATAATTGAGGGGTACTGTTGTACTCATGAGACATTACTCTACACAAATATGAGTGTTTTAGAGCAGTAAAATGTATTATACTGATAATAGCATCGGTGAAATGGCAGTTTATGTGTGAAAAAGGAAAAAAAATATATATATAAATGCTAACTTTGGCCAAGGTTTGTGACTAAGTAGCTACTAAAAAAAAGAGTGGACATACCCCATTTTGAATACCATGGGTTGTCTACTTATACCACATATTTAATACCCTGGGTTGTCTACTTTAAAAAAATAAGTACATGTGAGGTGTGATTCATAGAATTATGACAGATAACAGTAATACAATGTCACTATTGATAAATTATAAAAATATATATTTTAAAACAGCAATGTCCTACTTGTACTTATAGCCCTACAACTTGCAAAGAAAAAAAGCTAAGAACATGTTAACAGAGGGTATTTCTAAACTCAGAACAAAATTTAGAAACTATTTAGCATGGGTGTTTTTTGGCAGTTGTAGATGCGTAACAGATTTTGGGGGTCAAAGTTAGAAAAAGTGTGTGGTTTTTTTTTTTAAATTGTTTCATCATATTTTATAATTTTGTTTATAGTAAATTATATGATATGATGAAAATAATGGTATCTTTAGAAAGACTATTTAATGGCGAGAATAACCGTATAAAATATGTGTGGGTACAGTAAACGAGTAAGAGGAAAATTACAGCTAAACACAAACAACAAAGAAATGTAAAAACAGCCCTGGTCCCAAACGGTAAGAAAATTGAAAAGCGGTCTGGTCACTAAGGGGTTAATCTCTGCCCTCTAGCAGCTCATGGACAGCAACTCCCAGCAACCTTGGCCAATATAATGTCTCAACTCTGTTCTTTCATACCCTGGTAAAGAAGTTGGCAAAAATGACATTTGGAAATGGTGTACATCCTTTGATAACACTTGATGCAATAATATGTTTTGAATTTATATTTAATAGGGAACTGTCAGGTTCTAGGATTTGTAACATGTAGTTATCACCTGTGTATTACATTACAAATACCAACACATGGGTGTTTGTAATGATTGATAAATAAAAGTGAAATCAGAAATTAGCAAAACAAACAAAAAAAATAGCATATTTAGCCACCCTCCTGTATCCTTACTTTTCGGGTACAGAAGGATGGCTTCTCTGGGGTCCAGTGTGAGCTTGCTAGCCCAGGCTGATGGGAGTCTGCTATCAGCTTTCTCGGTCCTTCTCCTCCACAATTACAAAAAGATAAGTCCTGAGCTCACTCCCATCACTCCCAGGCAGCAGCAATGACCACAGTACACATCAGCCAATATATACAGTAAAAACCAAAGAAAAAGTTACCTGCGCTCTCTCCTAAATCCCAATGTATATCTAAACAAATGGAGGTCATTTAGTTACTCCAATGGCCATTGGAGTTAATGCCCGCCTGCCAACGTCAAGGCAGACCCCCCTAGGTGGGTCCTACACTGATCTTTCACCTTGCTTCCTTGAGCTTCTGGCAAAGATATCTCTAATGAGACAGCGAGTGGTATTTTTTTTATATACACCCCTATATACTTATTAACCCTTAATAGGGAACACATGGGATGGGCGGCAGCATTGTAACAAAGCTGTGTGATCCAAAAAGTGAATACAAATACAAAAAGATAAGTCATGCACTCACTCCCATCACTCCTGGGCGGCAGCAACGACCACAGTACACATCAGCCCCAATACATACAGTAAAAACCAAAGGGGGCTAGCTGTGTGACTATTCATCCAACCCCCATATTACAGGGGCCCGGTCCGGAGCAGTATTAAAGGGCTGGGGCCCCCGGATTACCTCAGGTGCCGCAGTTGGCCCGTGGGGCTGCTGCCTTAAGAACCAGGAGTAATTGGGCCCGGGGCAGCTGCCCCATTTGCCCAGCGTTAAAGACAACCGGGGGCAGAATAGCCAAACTAAAAGCACAGCTGACTGAGAATGTTTTCCGCTTTGGCTATTTTGACCTTAAGTTTGAAATTCACCTTAAATTCCTTCTGAAATCTCACTTTAATGAGTAAACTCACTGAAATCTCACTTTAATGAGTAGCACTGCTATTTCATTATCTTTCATTATCACTTTCTGATGGAAGTGATTTAAAAGAAAAAGGAAAAATGTAAAAAAAAATTATGCCACAATTAACTTTATGAAATATACAGGTATTACTAAATTACTAAACTTACATAAAGCTAGGTGTATGTTGAGATTTGTATTTTCTTTTACAACCTTTTACATTACATTAGACAAGAGGATAAACAAAGCAGAGGCTAAAAGGGCAATATGAGGACATGAAGCATTTTCGGTTTGATTTTTGGGTGGACTATTTTCCTTTAAATAGCATCTGTAATTTTCCTTGATTTATATATAACATCCAACTTTCTTTTCTTAGGGATGGTCAAACATAGAAATGCAAAGGACAGACTACTGAAGGAATATATCCACATAAAATAGAAGCATTTTACTATATACTACACAAAAACTGAATTATTCAAAACACATGATAAAAATGAATTCAGGATGGACCTACCTGTTGGAAAGGAAAAGGAAAAAAATAACACATTTACCGGTATATCAGTGTATGTGTGTAATCTATTTTTATTGCTTCACATCTGTATTTTATAACAGGTTTGTTTATTATACAGAATATAGATTTATTCTCATATGTGCATCTATTTACTGCAATGTGAATACTTGCTGAACTTTGGATGACAGGAACAAGTAGCCAATTTAGAAGCCAAATTTAATTTTAAAAGGATCAGAAATAGTTATATGTTGTACTGATTTACACTGCTTGCATTATTTACTAAATCATGAAGTTCTGTGAATTTAATTGGGGAATTAAGCCCCAATTAAGTCCTGTGTGTTTTATGGGATAAGGAGAGAATAATATGCAGGTAGGTAGATGTGTGTATGATGGCGACAATGGCTAGTAACAGTTGGAGTGCTGGGGTGACATACACGCATAAGGTGGTGAAAGAAAATGGCATGTTGGTAAAAGAGTGAGTTGGGAGAACAGCATTAGGGTTTGAATGAAAGCATGGGTTTGTTGGTTTTTGGGTTTTTTTTAGTCCTGCAAACTCTATTTTCCCTATATGATATTAAATACTGTTAGCAACAAATAATCACTGAAATAGACACTAAACACAAATGCAACAGAATGTACTAAACATACATTGATCACCCACAACATTAAAACTACCTGCTTAAAATCGTGAAGGCCATCTCGTACTGCAAAAACAGCTCTGATGCGTCACAGCATGGACTCCACAAAACCTCTGAACATGCCCTGTGGTATCTGGCACCAAGATATCAGCAGATAAGTAAAGCAATATAGATTTTTTTTTAAAGTCCAGCAGGTTGCGAGGTGGGGCCTCCATGGATCAGATTTGTTGTTCCAGCACATCCCACAGATGCTCAATCAGATTAAGATCTGGGGAATTTGGAGGCCAAAGCAATACCTTGAATTTTTTGTCATGTTCCTCAAACCATTCCTGAACAACTTGCACAGTGTGGCAGGATGCATTATCCTGCTGAAAGAGGCCACCGCCATCAGGGAAGACCACTGGCAAAAAGGGGTGTATGTGATCTGCAACAGTTTTAACCCCTTAAGGACTGAGCCAAATGTACACGTTTTGATCAAAATAAAATGTAAACAAAATTTGGAATGTGACTATATGTCTGTTCAACCGTAATTCACCTCTTCCATATTAAGTACACCCACAAAAAAAATGTGAGAAATTAAGAAATGTTTTAATTTTTTTTAGTTCTGCATGACATAATACTGTTTGCTTTTACTGCAATAAAATACACATATTTGTATTCAGCGATGTCTCCCGAGTAAAACAGTACCCCCCATGTACAGGTTTTATGGTGTTTTGGAGAGTTACAGGGCTAAATATAGTGCTAGCAAATTAAATTCTCTGGACTTTCTGCCTGGGTTATCAGGCAGGTCCCACAAATTGTAATTAATAAAATGACTTAATTATGTAAAAATATTACATAAATATATACATAGAAGTAAAATATATACATACACGAATATATATATATATATATATATATATATACATACACACACACACACACGCAGGTATATGTAATTTTTTAAAAATTATTTTTATACTGAGATATAGCGATCATATATAGATATATATATATATATATATATATATATATATATCTTGAGCTCAAGATATAGATATATATATATAGATATATATATATATATATATATATATCTTGAGCTCAAGATATAGATATATATATATATATATATATATATATATATATATATATATATATATATATATATATATATATATATATATATATATATATATATATATCTTGAGCTCAAGACTTGCTGTTTTGGAGATGCTCTGACCCAGTCGTCTAGCTATCACAATTTGCCCCTTGTCAAAGGCACTCAGATCTATTTACTTGCCCATTTTCCCTGCTTCCAAAACATGAAATTCAAGAACTGACTGCTCACTTGCTGCCTAATATATCCCATCTCTTGATAGGTGCCATTTTAACTATATTATCAATGTTATTCACTTTACCGGTCAGTGGTTTTAATGTTGTGGATGAGCAATGTAAATACACCTGTACTCACACACAAATACATTAAACAAACACACCTGTATAAATGCAGTCCTTTTAACATCACACACCTGCATTCAAACAAAATAACACACGTGTTCTAAGATATGTAACAGGGTTGATGTTCCAGGAGGGATAAGCCAAATGACAAATGATTTAGGTAAACTAGAAAAATGGTCAGAGTTGTGTCAACTGACATTTAATGTGGATAAGTGCAAGATAATGCATCTTGGACGTAAAAACCCAAGGGCAGAGTACAGAGTCCTAACCTCAACATCTGAGGAAAGGGATTTAGGGGTGATTATTTCTGATGACTTAAAGATAGGCAGACAATGTAATAGAGCAGCAGGAAATGCTAGCAGAATGCTTGGTTGTATAGGGAGAGGTATTAGCAGTAGAAAGAGGGAAGTGCTCATGCCATTGTACAGAACACTGGTGAGACCTCACTTGGAGTATTGTACACAGTACTGGAGACCGTATCTTCAGAAGGATATTGATACCTTAGAGAGGGTTCAGAGAAGGGCTACTAAACTGGTTCATGGATTGCGGGATAAAACTTACCAGGAAAGGATCTTAACATGTATAGCTTGGAGGAAAGACGAGACAGGAGGGATATGATAGAAACATTTAAATACATAAAGGGAATCAACACAGTAAAGGAGGAGACTATATATATATATATATATATATATATGAAGAAAAACTACCACAACAAGAGGACATAGTCTTAAGTTAGAGGGGCAAAGGTTTAAAAATAATATCAGGAGGTATTACTTTACTGAGAGGGTAGTGGATGCATGAGATAGCCTTCCAGCTGAAGTGGTAGAGGTTAACACAGTAAAGGAGTTTAAGCATGCGTGGGATAGGCATAAGGCTATCCTAACTATAAGATAAGGCTAGGGACTAATTAAAGTATTTAGAAAATTGGGCAGACTAGATGGGCCGAATGGTTCTTATCTGCCGTCACATTCTATGTTTCTATATGCGCAAAAGAACAGAGAGAGAACGATACTAAGAAAAAAAATATAGAAGGTAAAATTACACTGAAAAGATACACAGAACACACTGCAAGTTGTACAGGGAGTGCAGAATTATTAGGCAAGTTGTATTTTTGAGGATTCATTTTATTATTGAACAACAACCATGTTCTCAATGAACCCAAAAAACTCATTAATATCAAAGCTGAATATTTTTGGAAGTAGTTTTTAGTTTGTTTTTAGTTATAGCTATGTTAGGGGGATATCTGTGTGTGCAGGTGACTATAACTGTGCATAATTATTAGGCAACTTAACAAAAAACAAATATATACCCATTTCAATTATTTATTATTACCAGTGAAACCAATATAGCATCTCAACATTCACAAATATACATTTCTGACATTCAAAAACAAAACAAAAACAAATCAGTGACCAATATAGCCACCTTTCTTTGCAAGGACACTCAAAAGCCTGCCATCCATGGATTCTGTCAGTGTTTTGATCTGTTCACCATCAACATTGCGTGCAGCAGCAACCACAGCCTCCCAGACACTGTTCAGAGAGGTGTACTGTTTTCCCTCCTTGTAAATCTCACATTTGATGATGGACCACAGGTTCTCAATGGGGTTCAGATCAGGTGAACAAGGAGGCCATGTCATTAGATTTTCTTCTTTTATACCCTTTCTTGCCAGCCACGCTGTGGAGTACTTGGACGCGTGTGATGGAGCATTGTCCTGCATGAAAATCATGTTTTTCTTGAAGGATGCAGACTTCTTCCTGTACCACTGCTTGAAGAAGGTGTCTTCCAGGAACTGGCAGTAGGACTGGGAGTTGAGCTTGACTCCATCCTCAACCCGAAAAGGCCCCACAAGCTCATCTTTGATGATACCAGCCCAAACCAGTACTCCACCTCCACCTTGCTGGCGTCTGAGTCGGACTGGAGCTCTCTGCCCTTTACCAATCCAGCCACGGGCCCATCCATCTGGCCCATCAAGACTCACTCTCATTTCATCAGTCCATAAAACCTTAGAAAAATCAGTCTTGAGATATTTCTTGGCCCAGTCTTGACGTTTCAGCTTGTGTGTCTTGTTCAGTGGTGGTCGTCTTTCAGCCTTTCTTACCTTGGCCATGTCTCTGAGTATTGCACACCTTGTGCTTTTGGGCACTCCAGTGATGTTGCAGCTCTGAAATATGGCCAAACTGGTGGCAAGTGGCATCGTGGCAGCTGCACGCTTGACTTTTCTCAGTTCATGGGCAGTTATTTTGCGCCTTGGTTTTTCCACACGCTTCTTGCGACCCTGTTGACTATTTTGAATGAAACGCTTGATTGTTCGATGATCACGCTTCAGAAGCTTTGCAATTTTAAGAGTGCTGCATCCCTCTGCAAGATATCTCACTATTTTTGACTTTTCTGAGCCTGTCAAGTCCTTCTTTTGACCCATTTTGCCAAAGGAAAGGAAGTTGCCTAATAATTATGCACACCTGATATAGGGTGTTGATGTCATTAGACCACACCCCTTCTCATTACAGAGATGCACATCACCTAATATGCTTAATTGGTAGTAGGCTTTCGAGCCTATACAGCTTGGAGTAAGACAACATGCATAAAGAGGATGATGTGGTCAAAATACTAATTTGCCTAATAATTCTGCACTCCCTGTATTTTTGCATGGGGTGGTTAAATTTCTTGCACTGAATGATCTTGCACAAATACTTAACTTCATCCATGCATAGTGACAATACACACCTATATTCACAACATTACCCAACTTATAAAAACAAAAATATAGACACATACATGTCAATAAATTTACATAGAATATCACCAAAAAAAGATATACCTACTTTAACATGGTAACTGGCATTATACACAAATACAACTGCATAAGCCATGATATTCATTGCATAAGAAAATGCACACCTACGTCAAAATTATAAACATGTATACACAGCTGTATCTATACTGACACTATATATAGAAATTAACACATGCATACATAGACGCAACACATATACATTAAACTTGAATTTGTGGTTTCCAAAAGCATTTCCTGTGTCGACCTGGTTTGACTTCCCTTCTGCTTCCTAAATTCTGGCCTTGTTCCTTACTTCGCTGATCTTTGTTCTCCTGATTCCAGCTCTCCTGACTACCCGTTTTGGTTTATGGACTATTTTTTACCATTTTTCTATTTACTATTAATAAAGGTGTTTTGCGTCTTACATTCTCTCTCTGTCTGGGTCCTGGTACCGAACAGGTTTTTGGGGTATAAAATGATTCTGTGACCATTTGGGCACCACTAAATTGACGTAAAAAAGCACACCATTTAGAAACGCTGAAAGGGTAAGTACCAGTTCAGCTATGCCAAAAGGAATGCGGGCATTTTGTCATGCCTAACTGGCCCATTTTATATTTCCCTTGATAAAGGCAACCGGTAGGTGCCGAAATGTTGGGTTGATTGGTGGCTTGTGTTTCTGCCTCGAGGCTTGAGAGATTTAGGTAAATTACTTTTGGATTACGGTTTGTCTTATTCGGTTACTTTGTTTCTTTTTGTAATGATTGTTATATGTTTACTTATTAAAGATTTATATTGGCAATTGTGACTGTTACAGTGAGCATTCTGTATCTTATATAGATGGTATTATTTGAGCACTTGAGGGAGTGCATGTATAGTTTGCACCTAGCTATTGGGATTACTGAATTTTGTCTCTCCGTGTGGTTTTGGTTTTTACAGTTCTGCTACAACACATTTCATGTGAATATCGTTTATATTCCCCATAAGCGACTATCATTTTTGTTATGGTCATCATCATTGTTTATATTGCGCCAACTTATTCCACAGCACTTTACAATAATTGAGCAAACAACTAGACAAACTATTACATTTTTTGCCAGGAACAATAGATTGACGAGGACCCTGCTTGAATGAGCTTACAATCTAGAGCAGTGTTTCCCAACCCAGTCCTCAAGGCACACCTACCAGTCCAGGATTTAGGGATTACCCAGTTGTGTCTAAGGTGTTTTTTTTTCTTCTTTGTAAAAACACCTTAGACACACCCTGTAATCCCTAAATCCTGGACTGGTAGGTGTGCCTTGAGGACTGGGTTGGGAAACACTGATCTAGAGGACATTGGGTATATTAACACAATCTGAAAAGTAAAGTGGTAAGATGGCAACCAAGTCACAGAGTTGGAAAGTAGTCAATTGTAATGGAGAGTGAAATGTAGTGTGGACTTACTAGTTTAGTTGAGAGAGTAAGACAGGCCTGAGAAGTGACAGTTGCCATGGGAAGCCATAGGCTATAGAGAGATATATGTTTTAGGAACTTCTTAAAGGATAGGAGACTAGTATTAAGTGATTTAATGTCATTCCAAACTGTGCGAAACATGTAACGAGCAAGTTTAATGTTATAGTTATTATATTCATAGTTTTCAAGGCATAGGTCATTAAAAAACTGCCAGTCAGAGAAAAAAAAATTCTAGTAAGATTAATGAGGGTAGCTACAAAAATCAACCCATAGTTTTCTCTAACCAAAACCACTGAAAAGAGTTGCATAATTATTTGTCAGTTCACCTCAATTCACATGTTAGTGACTTAGTTTACACACACAGGTTTATTCTGAAAATTGACAACGGAAATTATTTTTTTTCCCAAAATAGCTGGCTTTGAAAAATATCTGGAGAATTTTTTCTTATTCCCTGGTAAATTATGGGTTTAGCAATTAAAATGATATTATGTTGCCCATTTGCTCCACCCCAAAAAATAGTCCTCTGCATACATACTCCTAACAACTGCCATACATCCAAAAATACACAATGCATATTATTTCTTTCTTAAGAATATTTTTATAAAAATTATAGTGCAATCAAACACTATTCTAGAAAAGATCAGATTTCAAACATATTTGGCTGTGATACAAAGTTCATACATTTTTCGATTGTAAACTCACAAGTTATCTTCCTAAGCACTTTGTATAAAAGTACTGTATTTGCTAGACTGTCTGCTCACAGGCCCCCTGTTCCTTTGTATGTGTCTATATTCCCTCTATTGTACAGTGCTATTGAACATGTATGCGCTATAAGGATACCTAATAAAAAAACTATTGGAAATAACATAGTAAAATGAATAAACAAAAAACAAATTTAGGCAAACAGAAGCAATAAGATATCTGTTCTAAAAGAGCTTACACTCATTTAGGAATTTTGAAAACTAAATATTGCAGTCATGATAATGCCGGATTCGTGCAAAAACACAAACTAGATGAATGACAGAGGCCTGGATTAAATAGAACTTAGTCACTCATTTCCAAGAACTCTTGGCAGTTATTGCTTTGTATGGATGAACGAATACATGCCATACTTTTCTGGTTTCTGGTAGAAAAAGAAATTATATAAAATACTGATATGTCTAAGAATGTTTCCATAAACTACCAGACATTAGCCAAATTCTGCATCTGTGCTGCTGTGTTTTTTCCCAGAGCATAGTAATTACATATTTTTATTTTGCTTATTTGATTCTTAATATATTGCTCTGTTAACCAATTGTGCATCAGTTTGCTATTTGAGATATTTAATTCTGGTAATATAGGAGTACTTAGTGGTTGGAAATCTTTTTCGCAATTGGCATCGAAGTACATGTTCAGAGGCGTAATATATTGAACCACAAGACATATATACTTGCAGTTAGGGTCCTAAAGACCATAGCACCTGTCCTCGTCTTGCTCCTGTGTCAAAATCCAGTTTTCAAACAATAATAAGAGCAATTTAGTCGGCTGTCTTTTCACACATGGGATATTTCTTTCTTCCTATAGCAAGCTATTGCTTAACATGTTTTGAAGCAGTGCAAACAGAGATAGGACGATAACGCTTGCAAAGCTTGTGGGGGCAGAATGCTGTGATCCACTGCAAGAGTTTTCATTTGAAAATTGAATCCGACCTTCAACCGCTGGGTGTACTCTTAGCATTTTGTTAATGTATCTGGAAACAACGGCCACATCAAGATCACCTAGGTTAAAAAAAAAAAATACATATAAAACAAATTTAAAAGCTGAACTATGAGAAACATTATATAGACTATACATTGGCCTTCATTAGTCCAATTAGGTATTAGTCAGACTAGAAGTTAGAGGTATTAGCAGATCTATAAGGTCGTTGCCTACAGCCCTTTAATTTTGAATTGAGATTTAACCTCACATTTTCTGCAAAGTGTTGTGAAGAGGGTTAAATACCTTATCTCACCAGGGACACCCAGGAATTGAAATCCCTTTGCTAATACTAATATCAATACACAGTGGGAAACAGTTCGGGTTAAGATTAGAGATAGGTTTACGATAAGGATTAGAGAATTAGAGTTCTGATAAGAATTAGCAAGGCAATCCCTCTGTTAACATCAGCAGAGGGAATCCTTCTAAAACCATTGCTAGGATAAGAATTAAGATTAGGATTTAGATTAGAATTAGGGTTATACATATGATAGAAAAGGTACAGGTGATGATTAGGATTAAAACCAGCAAGGGAATCTCTCTGCTGAAATCAGCAAGGACATTTATCTGCTAACATCAGCAGAGGAAATCCCAGCACTATTTCTAGGGTTAAGGATTAGAATTAGGTTATACATAGGATTAGGGTGAGGCTTAAAATCGATACTTTGTAGAGGTATACATATGTGTTATTGTTGTGCTCAGGAGAGGTTGGTTAGTAAAGTTAATGGAATATTATTACAGTGACACATGTGATGTAAAAAAAAAATCAACAGAAATGCAATGTCTATGTAAAATTTATTTTAAATTAAAAAAAAATATATCACAAACTAATCAATAATAATATGGTGAAAAAATGGCACCTCTATAAAGCACAAAATATAACATGTGAAAGTGTCCATGATGTCCACATTTGCAAATGGTATGCATTAGTGGAGTAATTTAAATATGTGACATAGCAAACTGAAGATTTTTAGAAATATCAGCTATTTATAAATTATATATATATTTTAGAAACATCTGCACTTGGCGGGTTATAGATTAAAAAAAAAAGAAAGCTACAAGCATTGCAAAGCCATGAATAACATAGTGATACATTTAATTAGTTTCATTTTTTAAATATATCAAGTTCATTCTAAGATTTGAAGTATCAATATGCTATTCATGGCATTACAATGCCTGCAGCTTTCTTTTTTTAATCACATATGTTTACTGATTGCATATTAATATAGAATCAAGTTTCCATGGGAACACACTATGTCGCATAATCACATCAAGAGATTTTCGGGTTTTCCTAAAACTGAGAGCATATTGTGTTGAGATTTACCCTATTGCTTCAGGTGTCCATGGTAAAATTACCATGTCACCTAATCATATCATCACTAAGCAACTTGCCAGTGGCTAGCAACATATTGTGAGTAGACTTGAGAGTCACTTTTCTTATTTCCTATATATACTTGCTTTTTGAGTTTTATATCTTGATCTTGAGAAAGACCCCGGTGGGGCTGCATTTATATAAAATATACTGTTTGTAAAGACCTACAAGTGCTCCTATTTTCCATTTCATCTTATTTATTCAGTGTGGGGAAACACCAAGGTGAACATTAGCAAGGTAGAGTGCCGGGTTCTTTCAAGATATCCGTATATACATACATACACAGTGGGGTAACTAGAAACCACCAGACCCCGATGCAAAAATTGCTGTGCCCTCCCCCACGTCTCATTCTCCCAGCTCCTCCATGTGTCTCATTTTCCTCCTCCCAGCTCCAACATGTGTCTCATTTTCCCCTTCCCAGCTTCTCCATGTGTCTCATTTCCCCCCCAGCCCTTCTATGTGTCTCATTCGCCCCAACCCTTGCATGTGTCTCATTCTCCCCATCCCCTTCATGTGTCTCATTCCACCCATAAAAGTTTCTCACCTCCCCCCTGTCCCCCCGGGCCCTCCATGTGTCTCATC